CCCGTGAAAAACTACGCCTAGGCCGCAGGGTTACAAAGACGAGTCATTGCACTTATGCCCTTTTATAGACGCTTTTAGAAATCGGCCAAAACAGTATTTATTAATTTAGACAGTGTTCCGCTGACATGTCGCATGCTGCGATATGTCCACGTGAAAGAGCACCGAAAAGCACCCCTAGAACACCCTTCATACCCGTTCTAACGGTTCTCTTTCATCTTCATAATAATCAAATTAAAGAACACCATACAAAAAACAAGATCTCGTGTGTAGTGGCTCGCCAGGCATACTAAAACCAAGATGTCGTGTGGGCACATGCCAGACATCATATCTTGCGTTTGCAAACACACGCAAAGTCGGTAAACAGCTCAAAACGGGCTAAAAAGTAGACAGCACCCGGACTTCCCCGGTGGTCACCCACCCGAGTACTACCCGAGCTTGAGGCTGCTTAACTTCACAGAGCAGACGGGATATGGTGCTTTCAGCCTAAGATGGCCGTCTACATTTGACTTTGACCGACACGCCTATTAGTGTCTATCATTCGTATACATTGGTACAACACATTTACACACTCACATGTCCACATACGTGGCCATAGACTGCACACGATGGCCCCCAATACCCCTTCTGGCCCTCAGAATTGGCTGGGTGGATGGCTACACTTTATATAGTAACAAAACAAAAAGGGGGGTGGTGTGGCGCACTCCAATACAAACGTGTGGCCAGCAGCTCACTCCTACAACGCAGCATACGTATTCTCTCCGATAGGAACCCCACACAGACCGACACCTTCATACACAGCAGTGCAGATAGCCGCCGCACCCCATATTTGCGCATACGCGGCCTGGAAACAATGTTAAACCACCAAAGTGGCCATTTACGACTTGCACAACCATACCTACGCTTCCTATGCGACATGACATGTGCACGTACGCGTCTTAGGCAATATGAACACCTTCGACACCTTCATACATGCACAGCGCGCGCTCCGCTTAAGTACGACACTAACTTGTCATATACATCATGCGTTTCCTCCCGTCACCTTTCATCACCTCCATATTCACACCCATGCGCCGTCACCTTCCTCGCGCCATCACCTTCACCATTTTCACCTCCATATCCGCGCTTCCTCCGCCGCCACCTTCCGCGTACGCGTCCATATTCGCTGCGTTTACCTGGCGCTTCCTGCCT